AAAAAAAAAAAAAAAGAAATGTGAAGTGTTATTTTACAGTGAGATGTAAGGTCAGTAAATTAGTCACCAGTGAATCAGGTATTGTATTAATCCAGTGGTTCTCACTATTATTTCACTGAGTTAGCCCAATGACAGAATGTATAAGAACAATTGCCTTCAGACTTCTTATCAAATACAGGTCCTGATGTGAATCAGTTTGGGGGTCCTTGACACCAAAAAAGGTTGAGAACCACTGATCAATAAGTCAGTCATTCAGGGAGTATTCATTCAGCAGTCCATCACTATCTCACCAGCTCTGGACCAGGTGGACGGAGGGCGTGGCCAGCAGCCGGTCCGGCAGCAGGTTGATCTCCTTCATGATGTTGGACAAACGGACGGGAAGCTCCTGGCGAAGGAAGACAAACGACGTGCGCTCGCAGGCATTGGTGGAACCTGGAGAACAGAACAGCATTGTATAACAATTCAATGTAAAAGGTTTCCACCTGATTAAACCCAATACAACATTTGTGACAAAATAATCTTAACTCCAAGTCCACTTACTAGCCTATTATGACACTTTCTACTGCATTTCACAGTCTTCATCAGCTAATTGACATGGCTCACAATCACAATGACCTACAGTGAGTATGGAATTCCAGTCCTGAGATAACCAGGTTGTACACTGTGGGATTGTTGCTGTGAAATCCATTCACTGATGAAGGCAGTGAGATGTGGCTGAAAGCTCTGCAAAACTTGTAATTAACTAATAAAAAAGAGGACAATTAGAACAAAACTAAGGGGTTCTACAAAAATGATTAGAGTGGTAATGGGGGCTGAACCTTGTTCCACTTCATGCAAAAAAAACAAAAAGTTGCTGTTTGCTGTATTTGTAAAAGGGCACCTTTAGGAACCAGGGTGGGGGTGAAAGTTGTCTTGATATATAGCTATTTATGCACATTAATTCTATTACAAAGGAAGGCTGAAATAAAATCTACATTTATAATGTGAATTGTTTTTCTCGTACAGTTCCTAACAAAAGTCATCATCATTTGCTGTCACTGTCCATCACCATCAACTGCGTTAACATGAGCAGCAGCAATTCAATCAACAACAACAACATCATCAGGTTTCAGTGAGGTCACAGCAGTGAGACATCCATCTATCTAGATCTAGAGGTGACAGAAGCCCTACAAACACCCCAGCTGCCACAGGGTTCCCACTCTTTCTAGCTAATTATTTTCCAGGAGTTTTCCTTGACAATACAGGTCAGCACTTGCTTACACTTAATATAAGCTGCAGTATCAGGACTGAATACACACCCACAACGCTGATCTGAGTGAGGGGCTAGAACACAATTTCTAGGACATGTGGCCATATTAATCACTTTCCAGGTGTTTCCATCATTGGAAAACTAGTCTTTAAATGTCCAGCTTTTCCAGGACCTGTGGGACACTGTTCCAACCCAGCTTCTTGTCAAATGCTGTCAGATTAACACATTTATTCTAAAAATCATGTGTTAAAAAAAAGAAAGAAATGAACACACATAACATAATGTGTAATTTAGTGATCAAGGAAGAAGTCATGTATTTGGAATTGATTGATTTCCTATGCCTCCTTTAGATATGCCTGTTCGTCGCTTTCCTAATGTGCCCCTCCATCAGTATTTCTCCCCCTGCACACATCGAGAACAACAAGCTCGTTCTTCAGTGATGAGCTGAGATGGTAACAACCGATCACTGAGGACCCCTTTACCGCTGTCCCTCTGTCCCTCTGTCCCTCTGTCCCCTCGCTGCAGCGGGGCTTTGCTGCTCAGCGCACACAGTGAGCGCACAGATTAGCGCAGGCGCTCTGTAAACACAGTGATAACGGATACCACGGCTCACTCACCGAAATCCAGGAACTGCTTCATCGAGAGAGGAGAAGGGGAGAACTTGGAGTAATGGTCGATGTGTTTGGGCACGTTGGCCAGCGCTGCAGTCTTCATCAGAGAGCGGACGAACTTCATTTTACTGCTCATCCTCAGAAAGACAAATATATGAATGGGAGCTCAAGATGATGTGTAAAGCCCTCTGGGTTAAAGGAGTCCGCGGGGTGCTGTTTACAGTCTGCTGCAGGGTGCGCGGCGCTGCTATTTAACAGACAGCCTCAGCCAATAGGAGAGCGCGGCGGGCGGCAGGGAGCCAATTGGATTCCAGGAATCCCAACCTACATGTACTGTAGGAAGATAGTAAACAAGGAGACGTGAGAGGGCGCGAGCGTGTGTGCGTGTGACCGGCTCAGAGCTTACGTAACGTTTCCTCCGTCTGATAAACAGAGTGTGTGTCTGCTGTCATCACATGGGCACAGACTGAGCAGAGAGAGCAACTGTACCGAGCAACAACGACGACAATAACACATTCATTATCAATAAGATAAGATTTTCCTTTAATA